TGTGTTTTTTCTCAAAAAAAAAAAAAAAAAAAAAAAAACTGTAGAAACCGTAAAAGTAGATTTTAAGTAAAAATATGGTAAAAAAGCAGGAAAATGTATGGCAAAAAACAGCAGCTGTGCTTTTTACCTTAAAAAATATGGTAGAAACTGTAAAACTGATTTTAAGGAAAAATCTGATATAAAAGCAATAAAATTTAAGGTAAAACAATAGCAGCTGTGGTTTTTACCGTGAAAAATAAGATAAAGAATCTAAAAAGTTTTTACAGAAAAAATATGGTATAAAAGCAGTACAATTTACAGCAAAAAAAAAGAGGCAGCTTTCCTTTTTACTGTTAAAATTGTAAGAACTGTAAAAAATGGTAAAATATGGTATAAAAGCAGTAAGATTTACTTTAAAAACAGCAGCTGTGGTTTTTTATGGTAGGAAACAAAACTTTTTACAAAAAATATGGTAAAACAGGAGTAAAATTAATGGTAAAATATGCAGCTGTGGCGTTTACTGTTAAAATATATATATATGAGACCATAAAACTTTCACGATTCCTACCATATTTTTAATGATAAAAATCCCAGCTTCTTTTTTTTTACCATAAATTGGATTTTTTAGATGCTGGATGTTCTACTATACTGTACTTCATTCATTCATTTATAGTATTATATACTAGTATTTTGATGTACGGACATCTACACATCGTACCTTTGTTACAAGGAAACATACAGTTACAGTCAGAATTATTAGACCCCCTTAATTATTAGCCCCCCCTGTTTATTTTTCCCCCAATTTCTGTTTAGTGGAGAGCAGATTTTTTTCAACACATTTCTTAACATAATAGTTTTAATAACTCATCTCTAATCACTGATTTATTTTATCGTTGCCATGATGACAGTAAATGATATTTGACTGATATTTTTCAAGACACTTCTATACAGCTTAAAATGATATTTAAAAGCTTAACTAGGTTAATTAGGTTAACTAGGTAGGGTAATTAGGCAAGTTATTGTATAATGATGGTTTGTTCTGTAGACTACTGTGGTTTGTTCAATTAGCTCAAAAGGGCTAAAAATTTTGACCTCATAATGGTGTTTAAAAAAATTAAAAACTGCTTTTACTCTAGCCGAAATAAAACAAATAAAACTTTCTCCAGAAGAAAAAATATTATCAGACATACTGTGAAAATTTCCTTGCTCTGTTAAACATCATTTGGGTTATATATAAAAAAATAAATAAATCTAATGAGGTCTAATAATTCTAGACTTCAACTGTACTGTTACACAGATCACACATTTTTACTGTAGTGTTTTAAATTTGTTTTATCATTGAAATTGTGGTGCATTTTTAAATTGAACAAAACATGCTAATGTTGCTGTAATGCTAATGTAAATGTAGCCTGATTTTCTTTCAAATTATCATCAGGCTAGCTGTGTTTCATCTTTGTGTTGTGACTAGCACATGACTCTGATCTTGTTGGGTTGTAAAAGCCGACAGACCCATCAGAAATGTTCAGCAGAGCTTGCTCCTGCTTCTTTGAACGAGACACATCAAACGCACATCCAACTAGAGTTTCCCTTCATATCATATCAAAGCGCTGTTCGTCGCTGCAGGGCATTTCCTGTCTAAATCACTTCTGTGTGGGGAGGCAATACAAACTCCTAAACACAGACCACATGTGTTCTATTCTCCCAAAAACCTGCTGACTCATTCCCCTCCCCGGCCCCTCAGCCAATCAGAGCAGTCTGCTGACACTTTAGCTTTTCAGTGGATTCTGTGTGTGCGTTGTATTGAGTTCTGTCACTAAAAGAACTGAGCATTTTCACATTTAAGGACTATATCGGCAATTGTTTCTCATGGAGATGTCTGTAAAATTATATTTAGCTGCCCTGTGATTAAACTGGATAAAGATAAACATACATTTGTGTTTTTATTCTGTCTTAAATTAGTAAAGCATTTATTTAAATGTTTAGGTTTTAATCAATTATTATCTTTTAAATATATGTTTGATTTTTTAGGGTGGCAGGGTGGCTCAGTGGTTAGCACTGTCATCCCACAGCAAGAAGGTCACTGGTTCGAGTATCTGCTGGACCAGTTGGCATTTCTGTGTGGAGTTTGCATGTTCTCCCTATGTCTGTGTGTGTTTTTCCGAGTGCTCCGGTTTACACCACATGCGCTATAGGTGAACTGAATAAACTAAATTGGCTGTGGTGTATGATTGTGTGTGTCTGTAAGAATGAGTGTGTATGGGTGTTTCCCAATACTGGGTTGTGGCTATTTGTTAAATGAACTATTTATTAAATATAAAATATTTTCAGACTAAACCGAAATGAAAATGAATGAATGAAATAATATACTATAATATAATATAATATAATATAATATAATATAATATAATATAATATAATATAATATAATATAATATAATATAATATAATATAATATAATACCTTATTAACCTAGTTAGGGCTTCAAATGTCACTTTAAGCTGTATAGAATTGTCTTGAAAAATATCAAGTAAAATATTATTTTACTGTCATCATGGCAAAGATAAAATAAATCGGTTATTAGGAATGAGTTTTTAAAACTATTATGCTTAGAAATGTGCTGAAATCTTCCCTCCATTAAACAGAAATTGGGTAAAAAAAAATGGGTAAAAAAACAGGGGCGCTAATAATTCAGGGGGGCTAATAAATCTGACTTCAACTGTATATATATATATATACATATACACACACATATGTGTATGTGTGTATATATATATATATATATATTTATATATATATATCCGCCATTCATTCACATCCACAGCTGACGTCAAAACAGCAGAAGCCGTTACTAATTCACCAACGTCACTTTAGAGCTAGTGTTTGAATGACTCTGTCTAAGGTGATGACAACACAGCTGATTTTGCTCACACTTTAAGATTATAAGGCAGAACGTGACATGAAATGCCATCCATCTACAGATATCTTCTTACAGTGTTACAGTCTACAGTATTTCTCTGCAATCGGGATTTCACAATAATAAACTCCTAAAATAACTTTGAATCCACTAACATTACCAATAAAAAAATAATACTCTATGCCCACTTATAATTAAAACATAATAATAACAATAATAATAAAAGAGCGTCATGATTTGTCTGGTCTCTCTTGTAAAAAAATTTATTTGATTGAAAAATCATGTATAACAACAATAGCCAAATTAGTATTAAATTATTTTTTGAATTTTTGCTTCACACTTTTTTAAACAGTCATTTGTTTCAAGAATTAGGTCCAGGATTTAGAATAAAATTTACTTGTAAAATGTTTTATTTATTAAAAACAATACAGTAGTAAAAGATGGCTTCATTTACACCTAGAGGTTGAAAAAATAGCTTGCATAGGCCCATCGATATATACACTAGATATATCATAGGGACCCTGAGCATGCGTCAATAGCGCCGCCACATTGGTACAGTGCTCCCAGGACAAATGTCATTCAACCGCACTAATCAAGACAGTGTTATTACGTGAAGATGCAGGACTTTAGCGCTGTCTACGGGTGTAGTAACAAGCAAACAAAGAAAACAAAGCACAAAGGCAGAACATTTCATAGGTAATATTAAGTTTTTTCTCTTTTTGTATGTTCTGAACTTTTGTGCTAATCCGGTAACGTTATTGATGATAACAGTCACTTACTGCATTCACCATACGGCAAAGCAGCTACAACTCGCACTAAACACTCAAATAAAATAACTAAACACTTGTTGAATAAAATCAGCAAACAATGCAAAATAAATATGACAACGAGATGCTGCGCTGCCAGAAACTTGTATTATTGTCAGCTAACGTTAGTGAAAGAGTCGTTCAGGGGATTCATTCACAAACGAATCGCTTCCTCCGTCAGTATGAGAAGTGAAAGCAGGAGAGCAGGTGTGTTTCAGGACATGATTAGATCAAATTTAACAGGGAGGGTGAATAGTACATTTCTGTACACACAAACACAAGCTTTTTGTCAGGAATGTCCGTGCGGTCACTAATCCATCAATGTAGAAAAGTGATGTAAAATTATAATTTTCATAATTAGAAAAAAAAAATTACATACTAACATCCAGGAAAACTCCCGATCATAGATATATGTCTATATGTGTATATCTCTGGCTTTGGATGGCCACAGTCCTCCACTGTACCTTGGTCCCGCATTAATTTCAAAGGAGCACTACCCTGTAGCAAGATGGCGGCGCTACTGATGCATTCCATCTAATAGACAACAATAGGCCAGGCGACATCTAATGTATATATCTATGGCATAGGCAAAAACTGATAAGCTGAAGTCACACTGATGTGACTTGGTCTTGGTCTTAAAGCCTTTTTCACTGTGTTTTTTTTTTTACGATTTATGATGGCATAGCAGTCAAAATAGGACGAATGAGCTCATGTATGGGACAAATTCATTTAACCTCCCGAACCCTTCCTGGCTACAGGCCTGGTAACAATACGATGAATTTGATGGATTGATCTCCTTTACCAAAATCAATAATGTGAATTCAGACGTCAATGAAAACCTTGGTGTTTGTCTAAAAAAAATCTAATCGGCTGGGGATTTGTACATGGGTGGTAAGAGAAAACACACTGACGTTCTCTCTACCAATAAAATCACCAACTACCCCCTGTACATGCTGAAAATCATTTACACCCCCTTTAGATACAATTACTGTCTGAATAGGGCTTATGAACAGGTTTGGGATGTGAGGTAATAGGTGAAACTAATCAAGTACAATAGAAGTGACAACCGGTTCACAACTGTATACACTTTCAAAGCCTTGCTGCTATAAATGAATCAATTACCCACCTAAGGGAAAAGCCTCATGGAGACTGAAGTGTTTTCTAACATAAACTATATTATATAGCCACTCTGAGGGAATAAATTCACCTTCACACGATAAACATCCAATTTTGTCCTCAGGTTAGTAGAAACACAATTACAAGATGCGCTTTTTTTGTAAGGATGGATGTTTCTGCTGTACCTGGAGTGGCGTCCAGTGAAGCCTTTGCTCCAGCGAGGGTCAGCAGACCTCCTGGCTTCAGATGGAGGGATGCAAGATGACTGGAGATGGTGGAGGTCCAGACACTCTGTTTCCACATCATATCAGAGTTCTTATACAAGTCTAATAGAAATGAGAAAGAAAACTAAATAAATTTCTCCAGCATGCTGCTCCAAAACTCTGGAACTCACGACCTTATACCATTAGGCATTTGCTAATGGTCATTGATAAAATTCCCTAATATTTCATTCTTATTTATTGATTAGCTTTTTTGATCTTGATAATTTAATAGTATTAATAATTTATTTAGCTACCAGTAAGAGTGTAGTTTAAACTTCTCAACAGAAAATGCAACAAACTTTTAAATCATAAGAAAAGTGCTTCAAATGAGGGTAAATTCCTTTTTGGGACTAATACCCATTACGGTCTCTATATAGTTAGTATATAGTTATATATAGTTATAGTAAGCTATCTATAGTTAGTTATAGTTAGCTATATAGTTAGCTATCTATAGTTTGTGAAGTTTTAAAGTTTACAATACAACTTTAATCTTACTTTAACTAATTTTACAAAATAATTAAATAGAACTTGAATTTAAAAAGCACAAAATCTTTGCTTACAAACACTAAAATATAAAATGTGGATCTCAAGTAAATGTTTCCTGATTTTAAGAATATTTATATACATTGGTGGTAAACAAGATATTTATTTCATTTTTATTTAGTGCATGTCATGAATTTCATACTTTTAGTTCTGATTTAAAAGGATAGTTCACCCCCAAAATTACAATTTACTCACTATTTAGTCTTCCTCAAGTGGTTCCAAACCTTTATGAGATTCTGGTCACACTTGTTGAATTCAGTTGTTCAACATTTTGTTGAATTAAATTACATTGCATCTATATGGCAACTAATTCTCATTAGATTATAAGTAGACTGTTAGGTTGGGGTTAGGGTTAGTGTAAGTTGACATCTACTTGATAGGTAGATGACAGTTAAATGTCTGCTGAAGGAGCAGTTTTAACAGATATTAAGCAGACAGTCTATAAATACTCAAATGGACCATCAAAATAAAGTGTTCCTGAGATTCTTTCTTCTGCTGAACACAAAAGAACATACTTTGATGAAAGCTGAAAAACTGTAAGCAGGAAAAACAAATATGGAAGTCAGTAGTTACAGGTTTGCAGCTTCTTTCAAAATATCTTCCTTTGTGTGTAACAGAGGAAGAAAACTCAAACGCTTGGAACAAGTGAAGGATGGTTAAACGATGGCAGAATTTGGGTGAACAATCCCTTTAATACATTTTTTATGTCTACATTTATAAAAGGGGATCTGTTATGCAAAAATCTCATTTATAAGGGGTTTAAACACAGTTATGTGTCAGCAGTCTGTGAATTTAAGCTGCTCCTAATGGTAAAAATTCATTAATTTTACGTTTTATAATCACATTAAAAAGTCTGCAGAAAGTCTTTGATTGACATTCTCCCTTTGTACATGTCAGAGCGGGAAAGCCCCGCCCACTGGTGACCATCTCTCCCTCATTAGCATAGGATGTTAGGCTTGCTTTTGAATCTGCCACTATGCTGACACACAGGCGTTTGTAGCTCTGCCCACTTTTGAAAAGAGCCCAATCTCATTCGAAATTAAAGCGACAGTCACCAAAAATCCAAAACGGATCAGTTTCATAGAGTTAAAAAGCATTATTTGTGTGGAATTTTGACCTGAAACTTTACATACACACTCTAAGGACATCAGAGACCTATTTTACATCTTGTAAAACTGGGCATAATTGGTCCCCTTTAAAGCATGAATAAAGTAAATCAATGAATAACAGAGAAGAAATGCAAATTAACACTGTGACAACAACTTAGGTGTCCTAACCTTTCGAGCTGCAGTTTCCTCCAGCCCATCCTCCAGCCACACAAACAATGGCTTCAACCTTGTGTTCTCCCAGCAGTTTGGATACATCCGATGTCACCTGCACCAGATCACATTACTCTGCTAAGCTCCGGTTCAACAGTAATTCGTTACAATTTAGTAAAATCAACCTTATGTTTTGATCCAGAGATAACCAATGAGGCGAGAGAATGTTAAAGCAAAAAACTGTAATTAGCCTCAGTAAAGTTCGCATTAAATATTCATGAGCTTTATACAGCCAAAGTGTCAACAAAATAAAATGCAATAAATTGCAAGCAAAAACATAAACCGAAAGCTTTATAATGGGGGTTAACAGTTTTAAGTGTGAATGCACATTAATGTTAGAAGAACTCAAAATGAGAGTCCATCTCCAGCTGTGACATGTAACTGAGACTATTATTAACAGCATCTGAAGTCAATGGCAGTCACAATAAGGCCAATAACGAGAAAAGATTGCTTGTCAAGAGCACCAGGGATGTCACGGCAAGCCAGGAAATTACTTCTGCAGTCTAAATGGAAAGTAAATGGCAGCATGACAGACAATTTAATAAGCCTTTTTTATTATTTTATTATTGTTTTATTAATAATTAAAGAAACAGATCCTCCACAGGAAAGTGATAATAGTAATAACAATAATAGTAATTATCAGAAATGCACCAAATAACTAAAATCCTTATGTTATTTGGAAAGTACCACATTCACAACACAAAATGTATGCTGCCTACTAAACTGTAAACCAGGGATCACCAATCTTGGTCCTGGAGGGCTGGTGTCCCTGCAGGGTTTAGCTCCAACTTGCCTCCAACACACCTGCCTGGATGTTTCAAGTATTTCTAGTAAGACCTTGATTTGCTTGTTCATGTGTGTTTGATAAGGGTTAGAGCTAAAATCTGCAGGACACCGGCCCTCCAGGAACAAGTCTGGTGACTCCTGCTGTAAACTCTTTTCCCCTGATTTCAATACAGAGTAATCCTTAGGCTCTTAAGACATCTGAAACAATATGTAATGTATTAATACTCACAAGGCTGAGTTAAATAAATTTGATAATTTTTGTTGTTAGTTTTATTGTAAACTGTTTTAAACAGTTGAAGTTCGATTTTTTTTCTTTTAATAAATATTTCCTAAATTATGTTTAACAGAGCAAGGACATTTTCGCAGTATGTCCGATAATATTTTTTCTTCGGGAGACTGTATTATTTGTTTTATTTCGGCTAGAATAAAATAAGTTTTTAATAAAAAAAAAAAAAACATTTTAAGGACAAAATGATTAGCCCCTTTCAGCTAATTTGTTTATCGATAGTCTACAGAACAAACCATCATTATACAATAACTTGCCTATATACCCTAACCTACCCATTTTACCTAATTAACCTAGTTAAGCCTTTAAATGTCACTTTAAGCTGTATAGAAGTGTCTTGAAAAATATAGTCAAAAATTATTCACTGCCATCATAGCAAAGATAAAATAAATCAGTAATTGAGTTATTAAAACTATTATGTTTAGATATGTGTTAAAAAAAGTCTGCTTTCCTTCAAACAGAAATTGAACTAAAATAAATTTAATTAAAATAAACAGGGGGTATAATTCTGACTTCAACTGTATATAACTTATAACTCTGTATTTCCCTGTATAAAAAAACTATAACAAAGTAACAAAACAAGTTAAATAATAATATAAATGCATATAAAATAATGAAACATGGAAGGAGTGAAAAGTAAATAAATAAAATATCATTAAATTGTATTATTATTACAGAATTAACAGGAATGTGCAAACAACAACAAAAGAATATAATAATAATAATAAAAGAAGAAGAAGAAGAAAAGAAAAATTAATACAAAAATAAATAAATAAAAATAAAATAAATATAATTTTTTTTTTTATTTGCGTGCATAATTATAATATGATCTTACAATTTAAATGTTTACAGGGACCTCCTCACAGTCTGCTGGAAAACAAGACCATATTTTTGCATGGCCCAGAGAGACGTTTGTTGCTATATGTTTACATGTTGTGTATGTTTTACAGTAAACGAGAACAGTTCTTTTATGCAATATTCACATTAGATAAACAGGATAAAAAGCAAAACCAAAAAAAAAAGTTTTTTAAAAAAAGAATAACGCAATTAAAAAAAAAAGAAAAATTCTAGTAATATCAACTAATTTTTTGTATTAATTTCAAGAAACGGTATAATACAACTTAGAATACAGGAAAAGATAACAGTTCTTTTACACAATAATCACATCAGATACACATGATAAAGAGCAAAACCAAAATAAAATGTATATTAAAAAGTTAAGAGAAATAAAGCAATAAAAAATACATAAATATAAAAAAGAGACAAATATTCATAAGCCCTAAGTGCTGATGGCATGTGACGTCAAGAAACTGGCTCCACCCACCTGAGCGGCTTGATCGGTGAATGACTCGGAGAGCTTCACCAGGACGTTTGCGTTCGCCTCTTCATTGGCTCCGATGTCAATACTGGCAACCCACTTTAACATTAAAAACAACACGTTTATACTGTAGTAACTATGGCGTGTTATTGGGTCGCATCAACAGGTGTCACTCACTCTGAGCGCACGCAGCAGCTCACGTGACTTGACTCCTTCAGAATGAAAATAAAGAGTTATTTCCACTCACCCAGCCTTTGGATTTAAAATAATGCACACACGCCGAGCCAAGAGCTCCTTTCCCTCCGTAAACAAGGACACGGTTCGCAGCTGCCATGGCTTTTCTCCGCTGTGAGACGCTTCAGCAAAGATGATGATGAGTATGTATCCACACACACACTGAAAGAGAGAGAGGGAGGGCAACACACGCGCTCGTGTAGCGGTTAATGATTGGCTTAAGCCGGTTTTCCGCCCTAAACTCCACACTAAATGAAAACCATCTTTAAAAATGATAAAGTTGCAACTCGGTCTTAACATTTCTGGCGTGAATAAAGAGTTAAACAGGCCTAGCTAAATAGCTTTTTACAAATTAAAGCGAATGTATGTACAAAAATGAAGATTCATTATTCATTATTTTCTCATCCTTCACTTGTTACAAACCTGTTTGACTTTCTCACCCACTTTTCCTTCGGCTTAATGCCTAATTTAACAGGGGTTACCACAGCGTAATGAACTGCCAATTACTCTGAAAGATATGTTCGCAATTGGCCAAAACTGGGAAATGTTTGACTTTCTTCTGATATTTTGACTAAAGCTGTAAACCTGTGAACAATTGACTTCCATGTTATACAAAAATCAAACTATGAAAATCAATGCGTTTCCAGCTTTTTTCAAAATATCAGAAATATGAAAATATCAGCGGAAAGGAACATTTGCTAGTTCTGGCCGGTGAACAAATAGGCTGTGCCAAAGTAGCTAATTGGTGGTTTATTCTGCTGTGGCGACCCATGATAAATCAGGTACTAGGCTGCAGGAAAGAGTGAGAAAGTCATGGAGTTTGTAACAAGTGAAGGATGAGTTAACAATAAAAGAAGCCTTTTTTTTGTTGTTGAGAAAATATCACTTTAATTAACAAAAGTTATTTGGCTAGGCCTGATTAACTTTATTTACGCCAGAATTTTTAGTCAGTTCTAAAGATGGTTTTCTTAGTTGTTTTTCCTATAACATGGAGGTCAATGATAACAGTTTTCAGCTTTCTTCAAAATATCTTGTTTTGTTTTTAACATTATAAAGAAACTCATATTGTTGGAACCAATTGAGGGTGAATAGTGAGAAACTTACATTTTTGGGAAATTACATGTAAATTCATATTTAAGTAAACATGCTAATCAGTTTTAGAAACATGTAAATAACATACTAATTCATGCTTACATGCTAATTCATACTAGATTCATGCTAACAACATGCTATTTTATGTTAGAAACATGCTAATTCATGTTGGTATCATGCTAATTCATGCTACAAACATGCAATCAATATACAAATTTATGCTAGAAAAAAGCTGACAACATGCTAATTTATTATAGATTCATGCTAATAGCATGCTAATTTATTAGAATCATACTAATTTATGCTAAAAAACGCTAACAACATGCTAATTCATGCTAATTTGTTAGAATCATGCTAATAATGCGACTGTACTGTCCTGTTACTTCTGATTTTTACAGACAGCCTCAAACTTACAAAAGGCTTAAACCAATCACAGACACAGGGATCAACTGTTCATTAGTCAACTCTTAGTTAGATTAACTATATATATATATATATATATATATATATATATATATATATATATATATATATATATATATATATATATATATATATATTGACCTTATTCTAAAATGTGGAAGTGCGCCTGTTTTTGCGATTGTCTCAGAACTTCCGTTTCAGTCGCCTATGGGAGAAATGACAAGGAATAATAAACGGCAAAAAATTGTCAAACTACTTGCTCTACAAACAAATGTTTGCATGACTATACAGACCAAGTAGAATAATATAACAAGGAAATATCAGTTTGCAACATCAAACAGCGAAACGAGCAGTTTTTAATGTTTAAAAATGAATGGAAGTGAATGAGACCGGAAGTCTCGTGCCAAAAAGATTCAAATGGCAGCGCCCACTCGTCCGCGGAGAATAAGGTCAATATATTTATATATATATATATATATATATATATATATATATATATATATATATATATATATATACAGTTGAAGTCAGAATTATTAGGCCCCTTTTGATTTTTTTTCTTTTTAAATATTTCCCAAATTATGTTTAACAGAGCAATAAAATTTTCACAGTGTGTCTGATAATATTTTTTTCTTCGGGAGAAAGTCTTATTTGTTTTATTTCGGCTAGAATAAAAGCAGTTTTACATTTTTTTAAAAACTATTTTGGGACAAAATTATTAGCCCCTTTAAGCTAATTTTTTTCCGATAGTCTACACAGAACAAACCATCGTTATACAATAACTTGCCTAATTACCCTAACCTGCCTAGTTCACCTTATTAACCTAGTTAAGCCTTTAAATGTCACTTTAAACTGTACAGAAGTGTCTTGAAAAATACCAAGTAAAATATTATTTACTGTCATCATGGCAACGAAAAAATAAATTAGCTATTAGAAATAGGTTTCTAAAACTATTATGCTTAGAAATGTGCTGAAACAATCTTCCCTCCATTAAACAGAAATTTGGGGAAACAAAAACAGGGGCGCTAATAAGTCAGGGGGGCTAATAATTCTGACTTCAACATGTATGTATATATATATATATATATATATATATATATATATATATATATATATATATATATATATATATATATATATATATATATATATATATAATAAAAATATATAGCAGTGTATATATAAAAATATATATACACTGCAAAAACTGCTTTTCTTACTTAGATTTTTTTGTCTTGTTTGTAGTCCAAAAATCTAAATGTTCTTAAATCAAGAATAATTTTCTAGACAAGTATATTGTCTTGTTTTAAGAAATAATATGCCAAAATGAAGTGAGTTTTTTTTCTTGAATCAAGCTAAATAATCTTCCAATGGGGTAAGCTAAAAAATCTTATCACAAATCGAAAACAAGATCATTATGCTTACCCCATTGGCAGATTATTTTGCTTGATTTGAGGAAAAACTCACTTTATTTTGGCATATTATTTTTTAAAACAAGGCAATATGTTTTGCTTGTCTAGAAAATGCTTCTTGAATTAAGAATTTGTAGATATTTGGAATAGAAACAGGACAAAAAATATAAGTAAGAAAAGCATTTTTTGCAGTGTGGTAATGACCACATTTTCATCACAACATAATTTCCAAACTGAAACTAACACTAATACCAATAAACTTGTAGATAATAAAGTACAAAGTTCTCTGATATATTTTGCCAAGTCATGGTGATGCAACTTCAGCAAAGCCTCAAGGCTAGCAGCAGAGCTAAATTAAAACCAGGAGAGGAGAGTACAATAAGGATGAGGAAAACGCTTAGTTTAACCAAGCTACACAATGAATGATTTCAAAATGAAACTTCAGATATGAGCTGTCTCTTATTGTTTGCTTATCTCTGTAAAGCTGTAAACTTTATTACAATGTAATGATATATTGTTTATCTGATTTTTATTGTTTTTATTAATGCTTAAAGAACAGAATACAGAACAATCCAAAGAGAAAAGAAAAAATAGTAACGAGTGTACAGAAAAACAAATAATAAAAAACAAAAAACAAAAGTATATATACTTAATAAAACTATGTAAGGGCCTTGTAGAATTACAAAATATTAAAGGTTTCAATAATAATAATAAAAAAACAGTTTTTAAGGCTTTCTTTTAGTAGTTTGGTCTTTAATGGTGTTCATATAATGTTCTAATTCTAATAAGTCTATCAGATCAAAAGGATTTATTTGTAAATGTAATTTTGTAAATAATATCAAAAGATTAAAGTTTTTTTTACAAAGGCTATTTTATGTGGGACTTGTTTGGCCTCCAACTCCATGACTCTGAAAGTAATTAGACTCAGTGTATGTAAATGCTGTACTGTACTGTATTTCTACTGTATGTAGTAATGAACTCCAGGTTTATAGAGTAGTTTACAAATTAACTATGTATAGTACAGTAATGACTGTATTGCATAATCTTACCCGGACGTATTACATTATTTTGGTCTTGGTTGAGTTTGTGTGTAAAAGAAGTTCAAGCATTTTAAATCGGGGTTAACCGGATGCTTTTTGTGTCAAAGCAACAAGAAATGTGTAAATTGTGTAGCCTACAAAGACGGATGTTGTGCTAACTGTGTTAAGAGTTTAGAAAACTTGTTAAATGTATTGAAACTCTGTCGTAGCAATTGTCAAAAACTGTAATATTATAAGCTAAGATTAATTGATTTGGCAGTAATTAGAATTTAAATAATCTTTACACTAAGGATTTTTTTCTTTTCACTTTTCATAGTATTTTATTATGTCTGATCATATATACAGTATCATTTCTGCAATTACAAAAAGATTTAGTCTGTCTTACAGAAAACAGCGATTCAGATCTGACTAAAATATCCATACACTGTAAAACTTCCATCAACATTTATGTTTTACATATCACAATTCAAAATATCAGAAATATCAGTTAAAGCGGTATTCAAAAATCTTAATTTGTAGTCTAATCATACTGAGCTTTATTTTTAGCATCACATGACCTGTTTAAGTAATACGATCACATTGTTTCTAATAAAATTTTTTTCACAAGCTATTTTCCTATCTAAATTATATAACAGGTCACAAATCTCCATGGCACTTTGATTGTTTGCATAGCTGATGAAGTCTTAAAGGCATAGTTCACCCAAACATTTTAATTTACTCCCTCATGTAGTTACAACGTTTTTTTCATTGAACATAAAAGAAGGTATTCTGAAGAATGTTGGATACTGGTGGACATTGAATTCCATTAAAGGAAAAAAAATACAATAGAAGTCAATTGTAGAAGTCATCGGTTTCCAGCTTTTTTTTTTTGCCCCCAAATATTTTCTTTTCCATTTATGAGGAAAAAAAAAATCCAAAACAAGTGGAGGGTCAGCAAATGATGACAGAATTAACATTTTAGAGTGAACATTATGTTATCAAGACCATATACCCATTGTTAAACAAGAAAAATGCCCGTTTAAACCACAAGAGGGCAGCAAACTACCATGAACAATCAGACATGACGTGAAGCACTTCCCATTCACTCATAAAGGGATGGTTCACCCAAAAATGAATATTTTCTCAAGTTTTCCAAACGTTTATACGATTCTTTATTTGTACTGAGTGCAAA